GCCAAGCCAACAATGGTTCGCACTTCTATCATTCTTTCTGTCGATCCCTGCGGCTTATCTTTTCACTTAACAGTTTAACGTATAAGACAAAAATTCAAGACCGAAAATTAAGCTTCCGCACGATGTGTTCAAAATTTCCATGTGACGTTCCAGTGGAGAACGACAGCATGCTAAATAATATGCGACATTTACGCTTATTCCTCGTGTCTTGTTTTTAATTTCTAGTGCAGTTAGTATTGATTTAAACAGGGTAGTGTAAGCGAGCCGATTGTGCATCGTTCTTTAAGCTATCGAACAAGCTTTTAATCGATGCCAGAAGATATCCCAATCACAACTACTACCGGTTTAAAATCAAAGCTGCACAGTTTGTTTAGAAATGGGCGTGGCTACAACAATCCTGGGTAGAAAGGAGGCGTGCTTTCTAACAATGGTACCAACCTTTGCAAACGAACTCGCTTTATGTTTTTAGTTAAATTGAGTGATGCACTCTCCTCACTTGAATGTTCAACCCACCTCTAATAACCCCTTCTTATCGATTTCGCGTGCATTTCAGAATTGGTTAAATGACATGGGTTTGAATAATTGTAACTATGAGTAAAAGTTGCCATTGCCGGGAAATGCCCACTAAGTAGTTTCTATAAGGCGCTTTACTCGCTGTTTGTTTTGTTATTGTAGTGACTTCTGAACGAAGAGCCACAACACTAACCATCAAGTTTTGACGACTTCCCTCTTATCTAATTTTCGACGCTCAATCTATTGAAGTGATTCATTAAATAATTATTCTTCGTGTGCATACGATTGTTCGTTAAAAGTTCAGGGGCCGATTAACGCGTTAGCGTTAGAATTTTTGGAGATGGAAATGTGTTTTGGGCATTCCTTCCAAATAACAGAGTGAAGAGATTCGTTGGCGTTCTTTGTTTGCCCTTTTGTGCATCTCTCCAGTAATTCATCACTTGAAAGTTCTCCTACAAGTGCCTTATGATAAAAGCATTGTAGTTTTTTTAATATTTTCAATATTTACATCTGTGAGTGTGCCTTGCCCTGTTCCACCTAAAGTGTTTCCACCTTTCTTATTCTCTTGAACTAAATTACGAAGGGCTGTCCCCATTCCTTTGGAGACATGGTTGACACATTCCTCTTTCTCTATTACAAAATTAGGGCCATATGGTTTAGCTTTGTTTAGAGTTGACAATGTTTTAGCATCACCATCTGATAGAAATTTTACATACTTCATTTTGGCAGTGTCAATGGATCTCTGAAACATGAGAAGGGCTCCAGCAGATTCTATGTTTCCAGAGGCCTCCGTATAATTGATGCTAAATTCTTCTCTCTCCATATGCTGTTCTCTCCATTCTCTAAACTCATCCGTGTCTTCACCATAATGTTGGATGGCAAGAGAACACATCAAACAAAATTTTGAAAGAATTTCAAAATCTATCACTTATCCAGTCAAGACATCAATCGCAGCAACAAACCCATAGAGAGAAGTATGGCCCCTCCGGTGCCAGCTACCATCAATGGACACAGTAATTTCCAAAACTCGGTCCGTCTCATTGGAGTCCAACTCTTCATCATATGTCAAACGAACAACTTGTCTTGCTTTTTCAAGAATTTGATCTCTAACTTCTTTGTTTACTTCTGCCAATAGATGCATGTGTTTATAACAAGCAGGCCCGCCCTTCCGCCAAACGAAGTTGCCAGCTTTGCTTCGCTGCGCCGGCAACTCCGTTCGGCAGGGGCCGGGC